AACTTCCTATATTTTATTGCTCTAAGCATCTTTTGACACTTTGCATCATTGTTTTGCCATCCCTTCATACAAACTTGTTAAGTAGGTTACTTGCTTCTTTCACTATGTCCTGTGAATGTTAAATTCTCCAAGCCTTCTTTCTTCAGTATTTCAGTTCTCTCTTTCTCAAGCAACAATTTCTTTTAGAGTTCCTGTTTTTCTTTAAACATTCTCATTACTCACATGCTTTCTCTATGGTATTCTCAGCATTCATTGGTAGATTCATATCTGTTGTCTCTTCATTTGAGAGGAGATTGTCCAGCATTCACTGTCATAATTATTTATTTGTTTGCTTATTTACAAGAGTAATTTTATATTTACATGATTATAAAAATATGTGAACCAACTACAATTTAATTAATAAAAAACCTTAACATTATTTACATTATTCGGACTATTGTCCTCATCTTTGTCGCCATATTTATCACAACGTACGCTCCGGCCTTCTTCAGGTGATTGGAATGTCGAACTGAACCCTTTATTTTGCTCACTGGGGTAGACTGTTCTACTTCCACGTGCCATGTTTGATGGATGTCAGTTATCAGTTATCTCCTGCTAATTTCCCTCTGGCAACAAAGATGAGGACAATAGTCCGAATAATGTAAATAATGTACATAAATCTCATCTTTCATCTCAGAAATATAGACAGACTCCAAAAAACCTTAAAAGCAAATTTTTATTCATAGATTTATAAAATTATATGTGAACTTATGGTGAGCCCAAATAAAGTATGATAATAAAATACATAAACACAAAAAAGAATTCAAATTAAAATAAGGCATTTGCTTTCATTTGAAACCCATATCTCTTTCACTCTCTCTTTTTGCTCTTCTCTCTCTATACTTCTCTTCCAACTAATTAAAAGGCAACCCTCAAATAAAAAAAGAGAAAGAAGAAAAGACTGAACATGGCTGCAAAATGGAAGTTTAAATTAGAAATCTACCAAAATAAGAGAGGCTCCATGTATAACTTCTGCTATAAAAAAACAAATGCAAAATGAAGGAAAGCCAGAAAATAAGCCAATAAAAAAAAGTAGAATTTTGATGTTAGCTGAAACCAAGCTTCAGACAGCTGAGAGGCAGAGGGAGAGAAGGAAAAGCAGAGAAACTAGCCAAGCATATCACAAGAATAAAATAAACGGTCATCTGCTTATGACATTTTTCCATCCTTTTGAGGGGCTGAAAATATGCTGCAGATTGAGGCCACAAAAAGTTTCAAAAGTAGCCACACTCTGGACTGCTACTAAAGTCTGACTTGTAAACTATCAAATACCCAGCCAAATGAACTTTCACTGCCCTGAATTACAAAGGAGTCACTCCAATCAAAGTCAAATATATATTATTTGTTTATATCTTTAGTTCTGTTCATTAATTTCCCAAGTTTTTGATAAATATTGCTAAGAACCTATAGAACAAGAAAATTTAAATAAATACATAACAATGAATAACTGTAATTATAAAGTTTGAAAAAAATACATTTTCTGAACATTATACTTTTTCTTCTCAGATTATTTAATTTTAATTTTCCAAGTGAGTGGTTGTTTATCTAGCTATTATTATAAAATAAAAATGCATAATTATTTTTATTTAAATTTTCTTCTATAGTTCAGACATTTGTATAAGTATGTGAATAAAAAAAATTGTTTTCATAGCTATTTCTTTATAATTTGGTAAATAATAAATATTATTTTACAGTTGGTTCACACATCATTATATACTCTTGTAAATATGAAAACAAATAAACAATCTAATAAAATAATGTTAAATTTTTTTGTTATCAATTCTTGAGAAAAAAAAAAAAAGAGAAGGAATAAATCCAGTTTCATATGTTTGAGTTTTATTAAAATTTGAAAAATAGATTTTTTAAAACAATAAAACCTTCCCGGGGAGAATACAGTAATAACATTGTTAAAAGAAAAACTGTCTTTTTGATACAACATTTTTTTTGCTAGTATGTATGTTAAATTTTTCCTGTTAATGTTCTATTTTAAAAATCTGCAGTCAACCTGATATTTCTTACTGCAATTAATTTGGTGTTGTGTACGTTGCACATTAGTTGCAATTTATATGCTACTTGTATGCTGGTTTGAAGGAGAGAACTTTTGGTAAGCAAGAAAAAGTGCTTGAAATTCATGACAGTCAAGAATTAGTAAAATACATTTCATGGAATTATTGATTACCAGTTTAGGAGATGCACAACTCTGAATTGATTCCCTTGCGCCTTTTTGGACTAACATTCTCGGCTGACATGAAGTGGAAAGAATATATTGAATCCTAAGTCTGCTGCTAAGAAGTTTGGTTCACTGTGTCATGCTAGACAATTTTTCTCTTCAGAATCTATATTAAATATTTATAAGTCTACCCTTCATCCATGCATTGAATATTGCTGCTATATATGGTCTGGTGCTCCTGTTATATATTTACATATTCTTAATGAAATTCAATGAGAATCTGCAATATTATTGATCCTTGTCTGGCATTTTGACTTCAGTCACTTTAACACTGCTGTAATTTTGCTTCCCTGGGACTTTTCTATAAATACTTTCATGGTAATTGTTCTGATGAGGTCTCTTGAATTTAAGCTCAGTACTAGATTCGCAGCAGGGTCTCACGAATTTACAGTTGAATTGGCTACATGCAACCATAAGTTCTATGCTAACAGTTTTTTCTTTTGTACTTCTTGTTTGTGGAACTCTCTTCCAGTTCCACAATTTCCAGCCAACTTTAATTTTCAAAAATTTAAATGCAATGTCAATCATTATCTGCTGTCTTCTTGATTACTCTTCTTTTATTATTCTCACTCCTTAATAATGTTTCTCTTTTTTCTTATTCTTTCACACTCAGTAACCACCTGTCTCTTAGTGGCTTTACTGTCTTGCGTGGGGGTGAAATGATTAAAAAAATAGAAAAAAAAGTGATATACAGGAGTAGAGATTTATAAAATTATGGAATATAGTTGGGTGCTAGGTTTATGTATTTATACATTTCTAGATAGATAGCCAGGGTAAGATTCATGTACAGCAGTCAAAATCCAGGCTTTTTTTATCTGGGCTCAGACACTGATCATTACAACTAGTGCAAAATACACATTATCTTCATTATCATGTAGATTCAATTTGAAAAGTTTTCACTACTGTAACCTATTGAGTTCAATGGACTAAAGGAAATAATTACAGATTTAGTCAAGTTGTTTAGCTACTAAACAAGACTAACCAGAATTATCATAAAAAAATTATTAATTAAAATATTCAAATCAGAAATTAAAAAAAAAGATTGGTTCATTTGCATAAAAGAAAGAAATTGTCTTTTGGGAAGCTTTTAACAACATTCAATATGCAGGTGACACTATACTGATGACAGACACAGAAAGAAAACTGTAGGAGCTCTAACACAAGGTAGTAAAAGAAAGCAGGAAGAAAGGACTAACCATTAAGTATAAAAAACAGAATCTATGTTCATTAGTAAAAGGAGAAGACTAAGATGCAAATTACAAATTGGAAATACCAAACTCAAACAAGTACAACAATTTAAATATCTAAGAAGGTTTTAACAGAGGATAGAATGTGTGACATGGAAATTGAAAGATGCATTGGGATAGTAAAAGTTGTCTTCCAAAAGCTAAGCAAAGTATTAGGAAACAAGAAAATTACATAAAAAACAAAGAAAAGAATGCTGAACTGCTATATAATATCAAACCTCCTATATGGCAGTGAATACTAGATAATTTTCTCACAGATGAAGAAGAGACAAAGGAACAGAAATGGGATTCTACAGAAGAATGTAGAAAATACTATGGACTGAACATGTAAGCAATGACAAAGTTTTTAGAGAAAATGGAAATAAAAAGGACATTTATTTTTAACATCAGGAAGAGATAGTTGAAATCACTAGAGCACATAATGAGGAAAGAGGACTTGGAAAATCTGGTACTCACAGGACATAGTGAAGGCAAGAAAGACAGAGGAAAACAACACAACCTACATAGTGAGCTTGAGTAAATGAATATCAGAGCAAGGTTTATGAGAGATAACAAAAAGACGAAATTTATTAATATCTCCAAAGGACAGGAAATTGTGGAGAGCGATGATCACCAATGTACTGAACAGACATTACACATAGATGAAGAAGAAGTACAGAAATTTACCTATCTGGGAAGTGTTTTAATTGACAATGGAAAATATGACAAAATTTAATTAGAAACAAAGCAAAAAGTGCGAAGCTGCTACATAATATCAGTCTTCTTCTATGACAGAAAATGTTGGACAATTTTCTCATAGAGGAGAGGTGACCTGAAAGTAAGAAAGATGGACTCTACAGAAGGATACTGAGAATACTATGAACTGAATGTGTGAACAACAAAAAAGCTTGAAGGAAACTGGCAACAAAAGAATGCTTATACTTAAAATCAGAAAGAGTGAGTTGAAATTTTTTGATCACGTTATAAGGAAAGAGGGATCAGGGAACATGATACTCACAGGAAATATTGAAAGCAAGAGGTGAGGGCAGAGGGAATTAATGATTAACCTACCTAACAAGCTTGTATAAATGGAGAGCAGAATAATGAATGGAAGAGACTAACATTGCTATGAAAGATAGAAGGTTTGTCGATATAGTGCATAAAAGAAAACTATTTGTACCAGGTTGTTTGCTTTACTTTTTTTATATCTTATTTTATTTTTTTAGTTTGCTGCTTACTGTTTTAAGATCATCAAATTTTTAATGCTTACATTGTGTCCAAAAATAAATCTAAATATTTTGTGAAGGTCAAGGAAATGAATAGCTACAATGACAATACCTACTCTTAAGCTGTACCACATGAAATGGCCAATTATAAATAAGAAACAAGATAGTGCTTTTTTTTTTTTTTAACACATAATGCAGTATTGTTTAATTTAGGATATTATTTATTAACCCTAACCCTTCCTCAGTTGGCTTGTAATGAAAATATTACATAATTCATAGAATATCTATCTATCTATCTATCTATCTATCTATCTATCTATCTATCTATCTATCTATGTTTATTATCAATGTCTTTTCATTATATATCTATCTATCTCAGTCGGTTCATTATCTATTTCAGTCTGTTCATTATCTATCTATCATCTGTTTCAGTCTGTTCATTATTTATTTATCTATTTCAGTCTGTACATTAATCAGAGGGCTTGTTACATGCTGATACAGCAATGTCATTAAAGAGACCTCTAGAATGGCCACTTCCTTTAAATTCTTTTGAGGGGCCATTACAGACAAATACAAGATATTTTCTAGCATAAACTGTGAAATGAAAACAATCTAGTCTCATCAAGTTAATTCTAATTATTTACTTACCTGCAATGTGAGGGGCCTGAATGCATGTACTTGGGCTAAGGTCAAAAATTGCCCAGTCCCTACAACCAACATAGTACTGGGTTGATATTTCACTGACCCTTCATATTTTATGAACTTAATGTGTGTAAATATTACCCTTTTGAAGAATTCATATCCTCTTCAGGTCTTCTTGAAAACCCATAGCTGATCATTTTTTCACCTCTGAAATATAAACCTAGTAATTTCTAAGGAAACAATTGATTTTTTTTATCCAACGTTATTCACTATTTGTCTTCAAAAGAGTAATTGAACTTTGCTGATCTGTGATGCTCTCTGGAACTGAGCTGTATAAAGCATGATGGATCAGACAGTGATTTCTCCTACAAAGTGTGATGCATGTTCAAACCCTACTGGAGAGCACATTTTTATTATTGAGTCTCTAGAATGTGCATAATTCACACTATTTAAGAAAACAGGACACCTACTAAAATAGTGATATCTACAAAATACTGCTTATAGTAGCAGAAAATATGTACATATCTGTGAAATGCATATAAAATGCATAACGTTATATAATTAAAAGCTTTTAAAATGCTCAATTATTAATCATGATTTCACTGTTTCAATTAATAATTTTCATAAAAAAAAGTATTTAACAAATATGCTTCTATGGAAATAGCAAAAATTCCTTTGAGATTTTTTATTTCCTTTTTGGTAACAGAAAGGCTTATATTCTGAAAATCCAAATTCCGTAGCCTTGACAAACCCATTTGTTACATTTTATTACTTCCCTGAAACTTTTTTCCTGGGGATTATTTTAGATTAAAATTCCATAGACTAATTAAATGGTAATGGTAATAGTGAGATTAGATATTTCCTTATAAGGAAACAAACAGTATTCATTGACAAAACAGTGTTGCTCTCATTTAAAATTTACAAAATTTTTCTCTTAAAAAGTTTTTCCAAGAAAATAAGTTTCTCAAGTTCACTGTTATCACTCTTTCAAGTATTGATGGGAGTTTCCTTCCTAACTTTTTGTTTAAATCTGGTATGAAAAGTCAACATTTAGATTATATCATTATTTTTCCTTCTAATTACATGTGCTATCCATTTTAATTGTTGCTACTGTTAAAAGTCTTCAGGTGATGTAAATTTTGTTATTTGGTTAAGTACATTGTGTTTCAATAGCATCAATCTATTAAGATCTGATGAAGGGGTGTCTTCTTTAAGACTTCAAGGATTCGTTTGCTTGAAGCCATTTTTAATCATTGATCTGAGAAAACATATATGTATATGGCTGACAGTTTAGATATTTTTGAATGAGTTGGATGCTATGTATGATATCCACATGAGAGTCTATATCTGAAAAGGTTATTTAAGAACAAGACTCAAGTTTTGATATTAATATTTTGGTTTTGTAGCATCTTGCAGTATTGTGGGAAACCACCTCTCATGCAGCTTATTCTATGTTCAATTTCCTTATCCCCTATACTAAATTTGTTATAAGTTATCCATTGTAGGAATTTTTCCCAGTTGTGCGTGTGTGTTTGTGTTTGGCAGTGAGAGTGGAATGAACAAAACCCAAGGCTCAAAATAACTTTTCAACAACTTTTATTTCTGGTTGAGAGTGCAAAATAGTAGTATTATTGTGGGAAAAAAGATGGGTTTTCCCAGTTAACAAAGTTCTTGAGTAGATATTTTGCAGAGAGAGATTTTCCCACCAGTTCCCAGTGGAGGAATGGGAAATCTGAGTGTGAAACTGCTAGGATAGGCCTCATCCTTTGCAGCAAGGGTTGTGTGTAGTAATTCCTTTGGGTAGATGTCTCAAAGGGAGATTTCTCCATTAGTTCCCACGGGAGGAATGAGAAATCTGAGGGCAAGCTTCTAGGACAGGCCTCGTCTTCTGCAGCAAGGACTGAGTAGCCCTTTGAGCTGGTCTTGAAGGTAGATGCCACTGAAAATAAAAAGTTGAAGAGAGACCAAATAGGGCTTTGTCAGCATTTTTATGATCTTGGGGACTTCTGATTGTACTCTGCTGATTATTTCTGTTGCTGCTAGTGCTGAATCAAGCAAAGTAAGGAAGCCCTCAACATGCCACAATAGCCAACAAGTGAGATAGTTTCTATATCATAAACCAAAGTATTTATGTGTTTAGTATTTATTAATTCCACATTCTGAACTTTTGATGAAAAAAAATTTATAAAGAAATATAACAATGTCTTTAATAGAATTATTGTCATTAATCAATATATAATAATGACATAAGTATTATTCTAAGTGATTAGCATATCTCTGAATAAGTTGATCTCCATATTGGGAAAGCATACTTTTTTTTGTTCATTCTCTTGATACCTGCCTATAAAATAGGAAATATTCAAAAATATTCATTTGCTGACAACTAAAATAAAAGTTAGTTTATTTTGTCCCAAGCATTGCCTACCAAATATTTCAGTACTGTAAGAGTAAAGGTCAAACTTTTGTCATTTCCTGGATTTGTCAGTATATCAGTGCAGCTTTCATTGTAAAACATCGCTAAACACACAATCCTCAGAAAGGTCAGTTACCAAAATGAAAAAAATATGACTAAAAACTGCATATGTAATGTCCTATGTAGTTGTAGTAGATAATATAAGGAAGAAAACCTTTATTTAAAAATCAGACTTAAAGAATACTGGAAAGTCATTATTTGAAGTGAAACTGCCAAATGAGGCTTAGTAGAGCATATATAGGAAGAAAATAATTATACTGCCTTCTCTGGAATTAAATAGTACTCACAAACCAAAGACAGTCCAGAAAATTTTCCTTTTGTATTTTATTTATATATGTTTTGGAACATATCCCTCTTGCAGATGAGTGGGAAAGGGTAACTATATATATAGAGATAGATATAGATATATACACACATATATATATATATATATATATATATATATATATATATATATATATATATATATATATATATATAGGATTAATTAATATATATATATATATATAAATAGGATTAATATATTTATATGTGTGTGTGTGTGTGTGTATGTGTGTAGGATTAATATATATAACCTAAAGTAATCCTAAGGAGCCAGGTAAACCTGCCTAGGTTTCACCTAAATGGATCTTCAGGGTAATATATATATTACATAAAAGCTTAATGGTCAGAGTTGAATCAAACCTGGAAACAGTAGTATTAAAAAGTGCTCAATACTCATGTGAAAAAAATAAAATAAATATAATATGTAAAGCTTTTAACTTTAAAAATTAGAAGATCAGTTGAATCTGCTACCTTGGTTTCAACTTTATGCTGTTGTCTGGTATTTTTATCATTTGACCTCCTAATGCCTTATTTATTTTTTTTAAAATCTAATGAACACTATAGTATCTTTAAAAAAAGAAATAAACATCCCTTGATGTTGGGTGTGATAGAAAGGGAGGAGAAGGAGGATGTGAAGAAGGAAATAATGAGAAGAAGAATGGGGAAGAGAAGAAAAGAAAGGTATTATAAATGTATCAGTGGAGGGTTAATTGAAATTTACACACACTTTTTTTTTTTATCCTGCTTCATATTTGCTTCAGATTTCTGGTTCAAAAGGTTCTTTGCATCCGAAAATATCATTATGGCAAATTTTTCTGTTGCCAGAGGTTGCAAATATTATTATGGTTGTTATAAGGCTTTGCCATTTTTAAAAATTTTTCTGTTTACAATCAGATTTCTTAAGGTACTTAAGGTACATTCAAATGTAGATGGTATAATCATAGATCTTCATTCAAGATAATAAGTCTTAGGTGCTCTACCAAACTAGCTAACCATGTGTGGAATTTAAAATAAAAAAAACATCAGGAAACTGATTGTGTGTGTATATATGTGTGTTATATACACACACACACACACACACACACAAACCTTAATAAAGTTCCTCATGGGATAACATATGTTGATAAAGAAAAAATTTCCTTTTGTATTTTATATATATATATATATATATATATATAATTTTGGGTTTCCACTATGGTCTTGGAACATATGCCCTTTGCAGATAAGTTGAAAGGGGTAACTATATATATATATATATATATATATATATATATATATATATATATAATTTTGGGTATCCACTACGGTTTTGGAACATGCCCCTTTACAGATGAGTTGAAAGGGGTAACTATATATATATATATATATATATATAATTTTAGGTATCCACTACGGTCTTGGAACATATTCCCTTTGCAGATAAGTGGGTGGGATTGGCATACAGTTTTTTTTAATATGATCTTATACACATGCACACACACTCAGTGATTTTATACTTGCCTGTGGATTTTGTTGCCTACGGTCAACACCAAAAATAACCAATTCCTAAGTTTTACTTAATAATGGTTCCATAACATAAGAATAGTAATGCTGGTAATTTGAGTATTCCAAAGAAATACTGCCTCTTTTAAGTGAAAAGGGGAAAATTTGCCAATATTGCTAAGTTGATAACATGTCTTTTATTTGTTACATAACATTTATTGCAGTCAGTCAGTTGTGTGTCATGTGTGATATATGCTTAGGCAAGGCAGATTTTGCCCTGCAGTAGGTTGCCATTTCTTTCTGTGGTAGACTAGTTGCCATCCAAGGCTACAGAACCTGGTTTGTTCTGCTATTTACCCATAGCTGGGGGGAGAAGAAGAGGATTCATACCATTCCCAAGAGTATTAGCACATAAGTGAATGTAATGGATTTGACTGGAATTTGAATTCAGCTCTCTGATTCCACAATCAGTTATGTGCCATGCATGATACACATTTGGGCGATCATGTATCTTTCAATATATGACTGACAAGGCAGGTTTTTTCCTGCAGTAGGTTACCATTTCTTTCTGCGGTAGACAAGTTGCCATCCAAGGCTATAGAACCCAGTCTATTTGCCCATAGCTGGGGGGAGAAGAAAAGGATTCATACCTTTCCCAAGGGTATTAGCATGTAAGTGAATGTAATTGATTCGACTTGAATTCAAACTTGGCTCTCTGATTCCTCAGTCTGAGCTGCTATCGATTATGCCACCATATTGTTATAATTGGTCATTGTTATTATTAATTATTGTTGTTCATCTGTTACTGGGCCTAATTTATAAATAAAACTTTAACATATTTATGTATGCGTAGGAAAAAACAGTACCTGCATATAAAAATATGAAACTTAAATATATTGC